ATATATATAAATGGGCCGTAACCCGGTGCTGGTCCACCTATATATATATATATTATTAATATTATTATTATTATTATTTTTTGGGGAGTTCAGGGGGGAAGAGGTCTCCTACCCGCTGTAGGAATGGAACTCAAGACGACACATTCTGGCTCCCTGCCAGCTTGACCACCTAGCCTTGAGCTCATTCCAATAGTCTTATATGTTTTGTCATAGGAAATCCCAAGCTTACTCTTGACTTCACATATGCATGGACATTTGAGGATGTAAAAATGAATCACATGTAATCAAATAATAGAAAGTTATTTTTTAATCAAAATATAATATTTAAACTCTAGATTTGGAATTAAGTAATGGAAAAAAACCATAAAAATGTATTAAAACCAGTTTTCAAGTTTCAGATGAGTTTATTTATCCGCTTTTCTTTTGATTTTTCTTTGACATAAGTGATAAATTGGAAAATTCTAGGTGTGACCTGGTTATCTTTGCAAATGGGACATCTGAGAAGATTGTTTCTGGATTATTGGACCCTTTCCTTACCCACATGAGGACTGCCCAACATCAGATTGCAAAGGGAGGTTACTCAATCCAGCTTGAACCAGGTCCTGGAAACAATCAAGGTGTAGCATGGTTTACAAAGGGCACAGTGGAGAGGTTTGTACCTATAATGCAGTCTGTTGGTACATGGTCTGTTATTCAGCTATATAATTATTTTTATTTGTCTTCTTTCTTCATCAATAAATTTATGTATAAAAAAAGAGAAAAATATTTTCATTCTCACAATAAGAGCTTTACCCTTATCCTGAAGTATGTTTTTGCCAGACACTCTAAATATTCTCATCAAAACACTATTTTATCATTTTATTTGGGTATTATTCCGCTTCATATCAGTTTAAACCCTGCAAATAGACTGACAGAAACTAGGATTAGGTGAAGCTGCCATGTAAATTTGATTCTATGATTACGTGCTTTTGATCTTTCTTGTAGGTTTGTGCGGTTTGTGAGCACTCCTGAGGTTCTCGAACGCGTTAATACCATAGAGTCTGAGATCACGCAGATCGAGGAGGCAATTGCCATTCAGGGCAATGAGAACATAGGATTTAGCACTGTATGTCTTACTTTATTATTTTTCACTTTATTTTCTGATTGTTTAGACTTGCTCTGATTTGGTCTTATATCATGTTTGGCACATTCAAATCGTCTTTCTTATTTTTGTTCCATGCATCAGGTAGAAGATCATGCAACAAAATCCACAGAAAGCAATGATGGTACGTTGATATGCGCTGCATCTATAAGACCTTGATATCAGTTAGTTGTTTTCTTTCCTTTAATGATTGGATTAGTGAGAAATCTGTTTCCTCTCATACATGAGGCTCTTCCAGAACCAAGAATATTGTTTTCTTTTTTTTTCAAATATGGAAATAGTTCTAACGTGCGTATTGGAGTCTCCTTTGCCAGACATCAACATCAAGATACTTTCTTTATCTTTGTATGTAACTAAACCACCCATTTGGATAGCTGAAAGAACCAAATCTACTATTGTTCCAGTGCAGAAAACTCAAAAAGTCAGATTAAGTGTGTTGGAGCACATAATTGTAATATTTCCCTGGCAGTGAAGTACTTATGTTAGTTGTTCATTCAGCAATAAAAGTTACCTGATAAAATAATGAGAGCCTTTTCTTATCCTTCAAAAGGGAACGAGTCTTTACCCAAAAGAGAAAAAAAAAAAGGGCTAAACATTGGATTATAAATATCAGTTCTGAACTACTGTGGACTTTGATTTGGATTTAAAAATTTCTAAACATTATTATTATTATTATTTTTTTTTTTTCTTTTCGGGGGGAATAAATTTTGAAGGTTTACCTGAGGACTTCTCGAGTTTTCTTTTGGCAGGCCACTAAACTAAAACTATGTCTTCTTCATTTCTGTCCGTCTGTTGCCACCACCATGTATAGGTCCATTGCTAGGGTTGACCTTCTTTAACTTTTTATCAAATATTTAGGTTATCATATCGTCAAAAGTTTAAAGATGAATGATCATTAGATGAATGAGAAGTCTTTTTGCACTACTAAATGTTGCGCAGGTGGCAGATCTATCATGGATTCAGATGCTGAGAAGGCGATTGTTTTATATAAGGTATTGCAACGACATTTGTGCTTTACATGTTCAAACTCTTAAAGTAGTTTTGTTGCTAACCAATCAAAGAAATATATATAATTCTTGTTCTGTGTGTAGCAGCCTGGGGCCCAATCAGCAGAATCGAATGGTTCCACCACACAAGAGGAGAATTCAAAGTATGCTCTCTGAGGCCGTATATAATTGGAGATGCATAACTTTGAGTTTGTAATAAGTGTGATACATTACAGTTGTTTTAACATAAACTCATTTTACAGAGTTCAGCTTTTAAGAGTACTGGAGACACGCAGAACCATGTTGCAGAAAGAACAAGGAATGGCATTTGCTCGTGCTGTAGCTGCAGGTTTTGACATGGACCATTTGGTACATTTGATATCTTTTGCTGAGTGCTTCGGGGCTTCACGTTTGAAGTAAGTTACATTGCTACGGAAATGAATAGTTGGTAAAATTTCTTTATGTTATCACTCAACAATGACTTACTCAAATATTAAGTTCTTGTGCAACTCATGCTTTTGGGAAGCTTGTTGTGCTGATAATTTGGTTTCCCCATGTTTCACCTTGTTTCTGATGCAATAGGGAGGCATGCATAAGATTTATGGAATTATGGAAAGTAAAGCATGAAACCAGCCAATGGCTTGAAGGGATGGAATTTGAAGCAGCGGAAGAAATGTCTAGTCGATCTGAATTCTCTTCTATGAATGGTTCGGGCTTTATGCTATCAAGTGAAACCTCTAAGCTCAAGGAATTCCGGGAGTCATGGTCTGACTTTCATGGGGATATAGGTGAAAGGAGCCATGGGAAAACAAACATTGAAGCTGGTTCAGATACTGGAGCCTCAGATCCTAGTAGAGGTAAATGCTGCAACTGTAGAATATCTCTCGTAATATTTCCAATTATTGAAGGTTTCCTGATACATCTTGAAATTTTTCTTGATTTTGGAAAGTTTGATTGTCTTGAAAAGTTGATGGTGGTTCTGTCTTGCTTTTGGAACCTTATATATTCTAGAAGTGAAGCTTTGTTACTCTCATGATTTGCTCATCGAATCGTTATTGTCCTAAACAATTGATGTTTGAATCAGTAATGAATTCCTTGTGCCCAGATAAAAGGTCCTCCATGGAATCCCAGGTGCCACCGGTTGTCCCACCTGAATATTATCAGGGCCAATACCCTCAGCCCATGGTGCATGCGTGGCCTCTTCATGCTCCACAAGGTGCACCTGTCTTTCCAGCTTATCCCATGCAAGGCATGCCCTACTACCAGGGTTATCCAGGGGCTGGTGCTTATTTTCAACCACCATATCCTCCAATGGAGGATCCCAGGTTCAACATGGCTTCGAGGATGGATTTTAAAAGGCAACCAATGAGTGGAAAAGAAGGAAACCTTGTGCCTGAGACATGGGAAGGTGCTTCGAATACAACATCACATGATCAAAATATGCAACTTGAGGTAGAGAGAGAAGGCTCGTCTAGGCAGTCAAACAAACGACGTGGTCGCATGGGTAAATCACGATCACGCATGGTGGTTATCCGAAACATCAATTATATTGCTTCCAAGGGAGATGATAACAGTGGGTCTGAATCAGGTTCAGAGGTTGACGAGGAAGAACTGCAACAAGAAGTTGAAGAATCACAACTGAACCATGAGAAAAGGGCACATAAGGCAGGGTCTTCAAAAAATAGTTTAGGCCAGTATGATTCTAAAGATAATTTCAATTCGTATGAGAAAGGTGGAGCCCTTGATGCTATGGTCATGGATAATGGAAACTGGCAAGCATTTCAAAACTGTTTATTGCGGGATGATAGAGATGATGCAAATAGCAAAGGCCATTTCTCCTCTGAAAAGGCGGTCAATACAAAGAGACGACATAACTCAGTCAGGGAAGACATAACCCTTCTACCAGAACGAAGTGCAGGTGGTTTATCAGAGCAGAGGATGGGTGAATTCGATACTATTAATGGCAACATGACACGAATTTATAAGCAGAATGCATCAGAAGGTGATCTTGCAATAGCTCGAAGGTTTGTTTCTAGCAACAGTAGAGACAGCTATAGTGATATTCAAATTGGTGATATGGTGGGTACAGAAGGTAGAAATAGAAGGGCTAGTATCGATGATTCCATGATGTATGGGCAACCAAACCGGTCGGGCCTTACCGGTTATATGGCTGATCCAGTTGCTGGAAATGAATTAGGGTATTCTGCTTTAGCAGATAGGAATTCAGTAAATAATTCTACAGATGATTTATTCATTGTTTCTTACAAATCTAGCTCGCATGATCTGGTAGACACCGATAATCGTACTCCCATCAACATGGATTCTGAGCTTCCATTGCCTAAGAAAACAGAAGATCCTGTGAGGAATCAAGTCACCTATGAACCAGATGATATTAGCATGATGCCGGAGCGTGGAATGGAGAGTGTGTCTCATGGCTGGGATCCCACAGTGGACTACGAAATGCAGGTGCAAGCAAATATGTCAGTCAATGCTGAAGGTGATATGTCAAGTAAAGAAAATGGAAAAGGTGAGACTGATAAAAAGGGGATGAAGAAGTCAGAAAAGGATAAGAAGTCAAGAACTATGCATGACTCTTTGGAGAAAAGAAAGATGGATGCTATAATGAGGAAGGGGAAACCATCAAAGTTGAGCCCTTTAGCTGAAGCACAAGCTCGTGCTGATAAGATGCGCTCTCTAAAAGCTGATCTTCAGAAGATGAAGAAGGAGAAGGTGAAGTTTTCTTCTCTTTGTTCATTCCTTTGACAGTTGATTATTTATCTGCTAGCTGCATTTGTGTAACCATCAGCATGGGCAGGGTAGTAGAGCTTAGGCTTGGATTGTAGCATTGTTGGCTAAGCTTATTAAGTTCCTGTATTGTCAAAGGCTCAAAGCGTACTTATGAAAATATCCGGAACGCAAGCAATGTCTTCAAATGGACTTGTTAGCTATAAACTTGGGAAAACTGTCTAGAATTGCCTTGCTTTCAAGAATGATTTTTAGGCTTTGTAGTTGTTAGCGTGTTGCTTTAATTGTGGATTAGTTTAACCTTTCAAGAAGAAATGGCGGTTCAGATTTCATTGCAAACAGTTGCTTTATACCAAGTTGACTTTAAAATTTGAGAGAGTTAATAGAAAAGATTATAGGAGTTCCCCCCTCTTTTATCTACAGTTATTTATATTTTTGTTTGGTTTCATTTCATATTACTCATCTGGCTTTAAGTTTGTCCTTTGGAATTTACAATACGTCTTGTGGTCATATGACCCACTCTGTAGCTCAGTTTAGCCGACCAACCTTTTGTTTAGATGTCCTGATTATTGTGCTTATCCACTTGTAGGAAGAGGAACAGTTAAAACATCTAGAAGCTCGCAAGAGGGAGCGTCAAACGAGAATTGCAGCTAGATGCAGCCTAAGCCCTGTACCACATCCTTCACTCCCCCAGAAAACGAGAACTCGGCTGCCAGCTAAACTCTCCCCACCATCTAAGCTCTCCCCAAGCTCATTGAGAGGATCAAAATTCCATGATTCAGAAACTGGGTCATCTTCACCTGGCTCAATTCTGCAAAAGCCAGTTGTGGGAACTGTCTCTTCCACATCTGCTGATTCTTCAAAGAACAAGTTCTCAAACAAATTGAATGGTGCTCGTGTGGCTGGAAATGGTTTGAGTAGATCATTTTCATCACTATCCGAGCTCAAAAAGGATGATAGATCCTCTGCAAGTGAAGCTAAAGCAACCTCTACTCGAAACAGAAGGCTTTCAGACCATCAAATCTACAGTGACCGGAATGGGCCTTTGATTAAATCAGTAAAATATGATTCAAAGCCAAAGCCAAAGCCAAAACCAACCAGTGGACCTGAGATAAAGAAGCAGTCTGTTCCTTCAGCTCTTACCAGGCCCAAGTCTGAAGCTCTGGCAGACCCAACTCACCTGAGGATCAGAACAAAAGCCTCTTCAGATGTGACCCCAAAAAGGTCAGTGACTAAAGAAAGTACTCAAAGGGGGAAAGGGAACCAATTGTCTGTTACTGCTGATACTATCAAGACCAAGAAGGGTTCTGAGAAAATCATAAATTCTAGCAATGGAGATGCCAATCCCATTATTGAAAAGAGTGTGGTAAGTTCTGAGCATGACAAGGTAGTAGTTCCTATTGGTGGGATCTCAGAGGTCAGTGACCTCAGAACTGAAGCAAATGGTGAAGACGCGAGAGAGATGCCTGGAGCAGTTTCAGTATATGCTGCGATCTGTGAACCACCTTCACCTATTGTCAGAGATTTTCTTCAAGTGGAAGAGAAGCAAGTCGAGCAGCCTAATTCAAACGAGGTAAGTTAATTAATAAAATTGAAACAGGGTATATTAGTGAGAAGTCTCCAAAGACTCTGCATTTGCTTGAAAAAGTGAATGAGTAACTCTCATCGATTCCGCAATTTGTGGTGCTCAGGCAAATATGGATTCTGTGACCTCAAATTTTCAAAACATCAGTTCAAATGAGAACCCATATCAAGCTCCTTATGCTCGCAATTCTTCCTTGGAAGACCCACGCACCAGTAACCTAGAATATGGTAAAGCCCTACCGCTTGCTTCTGAAATGGAGTCAACTCCTTTGGAGATTATGAAGGCCCATGTTGTTGATTCTACTGGTGGGTTGGAGCATACTACTGAATCCATGGAGAAGCCTTCAGGCAAAGAGCCTTCCAAGGGGTTTAGAAGGCTTTTGAAGTTTGGAAGAAAGAACCATAGCTCAGCAGCAAGTGAGAGTAGCACAGATTCATATCAGTTGAGATCAGAGGGCCCATCACTTTATGACCAGGCTGCAGGACATACTTCTACAACAGAAGGTCCCTTTGCAATTTTTCTTTATTTATTTATTTTTCTTTGATGGTAACCCCTTGTAAATAGAGTTATTACTTACCCAAAAATAGAAGATAGCAACCCTTTCAATCTTTGACTTTTATAATAAATAACTTTTCTCAAAACTGTGAACTCTAGGATCTGAATTTTGATTTATTTCTGGACCTATAGTTTTACCTCGTTATTTCCCCAAGTGCTGAGAGCTCAATTCATAAGCAGTAAAATTCTTGGATTTTTATACCTAACCTTACATAAGATCAAACTTTAAAGCCTAGATTCACAAAGCCTAATCCCAAAAATGAATTGGTCCTTGACTCAGAATGGCAGGCAAGGATTTTTGTAGCTGACCCCAAATAATTGGGAAAAGGCTCGAAGTAAATAATGGAATTTAAATCCTCAGCATCATAAAAACCTTTTCATTTCACGTTTGTGCAAGTTCTTGTGCACTTGAAGTAAGAGCTTCCTTGAATTAAGCTTTATGAACATGATGCTAACTTTTGCCTAAACCACCCGTCACGAATGTACCTGAAATCTTATTCATGAGAATGCAGGCCCCAAACATGTTATTTTATTATCCCCTACCTGTAAAAAATAAAAAATAATACCCACTTATGTGATTATTTGCTAGCTTATTGTTTTTTTCTTTTGTTTTGGCTTTTGCATTTCAGTGCCTTCTCTCAGGAATCTTATCACTCAGGATGATAGCTCCACTGGAGGTACTCCACAGAAAGGTGAGAAAATTAGGCCTCTCATGACACTCTGAGGCGTGTTTACATTGTATAGATGCTTCAGTTACATTAAAATGCTTAATTCTTTTGTGACAGCTTCACGTCCCTTCTCTTTGCTTTTACCCTTCCGGAGCAAGGGGAGTGAGAAGAAAAGATGATGACGAAAACATCCAGGTCAGAGCATGTTTGTGTTCCTGTTCTTCTCCTGTTTTGTACAAGAAAATCTGGAAATTGTTGGAGTGGTTTGCTACATGCCCTGTAATACGAAATGATTTTCTTCTGTCTTTTACCCTCTTCTCTTCCTCTTTTCAGAGGTCTTACTTTTTCCTTTTCGGATTACCTTTGTGAAAACTACGCTTTTTTTTTTTTCTTTTTCTTTATAGCCTCTAAACAATATAGTTTTCAGTGTGTCAGAACACTCGTGAGCACTACATTGCTTAGAAGCTATAAAGAAGTTGTTCTTATTTTACCAAGTGGCATTAAAGTACTACTTGTCGCCTTCTATGAAAATGACCCACTACATATTCCTAACATTGCAACTGCAATATTGGCCATGTTATCCTAGAGATCGTAAATGTTGATTCATCAGAAAAATCCAGTCTTCATTCTTAAGCACTAGAAGAGTATGATTGATTGGGATTATTTTTGGAATTTGATGTGTATTCCTTTTAGAGAAATTATATCATACAATAGTGGTTGGAAGTAATTCGAAAAGATATGGAGACTTATGCCCTCACTGAGGGTATGGTCTTTAATAGAGCAGAATGGAGGACTAGGATTCGTGTAGCTGACTTCAATTAATTGGGAAAAGGCTATGATGATGATGATGATGATATCATACAGTAGTGGTATATGTGATATGGTACATCAAGGGGACATCAACTATCCATTCCCTAGGATAGACGGTGGAGATAAACTATAACCAGATTAATATATGTTCTCAGGAGCAAAAGGTGGACACCTCCATGTTGTATCATATTCATACTCCACTGCTGTATGGCATTCTTCCCATGTCTATCATTTGTGAATACTTGATGTTAAGGCCTTAAGGCCAGATTTGCCCTCAGGGGCGACATGGTTGGAGTCTGTTACTTATGATGAAATTTGATTCCATTTTTGGTATTTAAGAAGAATTATATTGTCGATTCCTTTCTGAATGAACAGTTTTCTGGCTTGCATAAGACACTATCAAGTAGTTTTTCTGGCCTGTATAAACATACTATCAACAGGTAACAAACATCGAACACAACTAAAAACCAGCTGCTCCTTTATGGATGTAGTCACTGTCAATCATAAGTACATGCATTTCCATACAAAACAAACAGGAATAACTCATATAAGATGAGGAGCTCTCCAAAAATCATTCATGGTGGTTTTGATCAAGTAAAGATATTCACTCTACTCATATTTAGTGGACATGAATTATTCTGGTGTATTGGTGGATGGCGCTTTTGGTTCCAATGGTGTCAGCCAAAGCGTACGATGATGCATGAGATATCGTCTTTACTCATCCTCATTTCTGCCTCTTTGGCAAGGCACTCAGCTGCTTCTTGGGGATCCTTGATGTGCCCAATTAGGTTGACTGCCTCTTGATTGTTCATTACCTGATAAAGTATTGCTTTCAACTGTTAAACAACATTTACTTAATTATTGGTTCAATTTATGATGCTGGTGGCTGTGATGATATTGGTGGTGATGATGTTATATTATTTTAGTTTTATGAGAAGAAAGAATGTGTTTCTTGGTAAATCTGGTGTGTGCCCATGTGAAATGCAAAGATACATTTATGCATTAACAGGACATAGTTTCTTGGAGAGCCTAATGATGATCTTTGTAAATATGATGATGATGATTCTAAGATGATGGTTAAAACTTAAAAGCATGATTTTTTTATCAAGATGTGCATATGGCATGCCATGGCCATAGGAAAACCTGGTCATGATGACGACAACGATGAAGATGCATTCTTATGAATATGAATTACCTGCCATATTCCGTTGGTCGCAAGGATGAGGAACTCTGTTTCTGCATCAATCTTTATGACCTCAACATGGGGATCCGAGGTCATGTGAGGCTTGATGTGCAAAAAACCGAATGCTCGTGCAATGTCCAGCTCTCCATCAACATGTCCCCTTCCACCTAATTGGGATTTCAGCAAAAACACATTATAACATTTGGAGCAGCAAATTAACAAAAACTTTAATAGCTCAAGCTAATGTATTTGCACAAGTTGATACGTATCCAGGATCCATAGATATGTATGTAGATACATAGTATTATTAAATAGATATGTATAAACATGCATAATGTGTAGATACATATTACATCTATGCATGGGAAAACAGTGAGGTTTGCGAATCAGCAGCCCAAGATGGTAGGATCTAATAGCTATGGGTATCATGAAGTTCGAATGTACAAATGGAATTTGAATGCTTCAATGTACATGAATGCATGTTTAACATACATGGAGGCATACACATACATACATATACACATGCGGAAGTATATAATGGCATGCATGAATGCATGCATAGGCGTCTGTTTGGATGTACAACCCAATACCTTCATCAATTGTTACAGACCCACCTCTTTTCTCTATTGACTGTCGCGCTTTGATTGGCTTGTGATCGGTTGAAAGTTGAATTGCCTTCGAGTTCTTGCATAAGACAGCCCTAGAATCTCCGACATTTGCCACGACCATTTTTTCATTGTTGATCACTAGTGCAGTAACGGCTGCTGAGCCTCCTCTACCATGATCCCTTGTGTTAGATAGTATCTCTTTGTCAGTTGAAACAAAGGCATTCTGCACTGCCTCCTTTATTCTTGTCCAAAATTCAGGCTGCCAAAATCAGTAAAATCAAGTTCAAAATTGATTTTGGCATTTAAAATAAATAAATAAAAAATCTAAGTGATCAATGTGACCTAAAATTTTAATAAAGTTTGGTAACTTACCAAAATGTCCTTGTTCGCAAATTGCCCTTCAGCATGTTTTTAACAAAATGATGAAAACTGTCGTCATAACCCTAAACCCTTTACCCTAGCATGTCATGATATCTCAAAAGAGAGAAAAAATAGCTTTTGGAGGAAATGGCCATCCCTTGGAAATCAATGTTAAGTAGGAGGTGATTATTGTTATATCTAATTATTATTATATCTAAATAACTTCTGCAGAATCTTACTACTTTCCTCATGGAAATCAGAGCTTTCTCTCTCTCTCTCTCATGCTAGAGAAAAGGAAATCCTTGTTGCTAAGCCTTCAATGAAAAGCTTCTTTTATGCTTTACCTCATTCACAATGTTATTGAACAGGTGTGAAACCAAGAACTCCTGTACTTCGCATCCTTGACGCCCATCAAACACTCCAAAAAACCGTATCTCCGAATCTTTGATACGCTCGAATCGCACTGTGACAGAGTCCTCTTGCACATCTTTTTGTGTCGAGGCCTGCGCCCTGTGTTGTCCGTGCGTGATGCACATGCATCCCATTATTCTCTTTTGGTCTCTGCTTCTTGAGCATGGCCATGCATTCTGTATAGCCTCCTACATGATCCAATGATGACATTACTGCTCTGCATACATGCATGCACACACAAACATACATATATGGAAGCATACAATATATATATGATCCAATGATGACATTACTGCTCTGCATACATGCATGCACACACAAACATAAAGCATACAATATGTACATACACATATGCATACCCACATTTACCATGGTAACAATTGCAGTGCAACACTGAACACCCCAAAGTGTGAATCCTACTAGTGACCCTCCCCAAATAAATATGCATATGTATGTTCATGCTATATACATATAGAAATCGAGTACATGCATGTGTTTGTCGACTGAGTCAGTGTTTTAAAAATTGTCGGGATGACTCGGGACTTGCCAAAGTAGGTCCTGAACAGGGCCAGGTGATTCCAAGCTGAAAAAACCTGAGTATCATGTCTTTTCATTATTTTTAAAATCTTCCTATGAAAAAAATGTGCCGAGTTGGACTCACCCAAGTCCGATCAGGGAGACTTGGGTCGGGTCCTGGCAAGTTGGAGCCAGAGTCCAGATTTTTAAACACAGCACTAAATCCTTTTGTGCATGGTAGCTACTTAGATTCGGATGTCATGATCACATACTTCCATGTGCAAGATCCACTTCATCATTTCAGGTGACCAATGACACAAATGTAGTACTGTATGCATCAAGTTGTATTCATGCATCTAGTTTTTCATATACATCTAGATGTACACATATGTCCACAACATGCATATGGGATGGTGGGCTATTGCCAAGTGAACAGTGTAAAAGCATCGCCATTTGATGAAACGATGGACCATGATGATGGAGAAAGAGTGGGAGTCACCTGGACAATACATGTTGTCGAAGGATCCCACGATCTCTCAATCACCATCCATTTCACGGTGACAAACCCCAGTGAGCAATGAGCTTTTCAGAGTACATTGGACCATGGTATACTTTTCCCCTACATATTCCATGTGTATGTGCATGTGCATGCATGATATGCATGTCTAAGGTGTGGATGCATGCTCTCATGAGGGCATCCATAAGTGAAGAAGAATATCAAAATACAGGTTGGTGGTTGTTTTTGAAGCGTCAGTGTCTTTATCTAGATCAATTGCATACAGAATTTATATACTTCTTTCCTGGAAAGAATCCACTTTCAATAATCTGTAATTCCTATGACCCATATCTTCATTTTTGAAAATAGAAAACAGCCCCTCAATAGATCAACAGAGGATAATTCCTATGACCCATGTCTTCATTTTGAAAATAGAAAACAGCCCCTCAATAGATCAACAGAGGAGAGAGAGAGTCTTGATTTTGGGTGTCCATTTTCATTCATGGCCGGTATAGTGCGTGGAGAGAGAGAGATTATTGAGATAAGTGCCTTACTTTTGAGTATCCATTGTTGTGAGAGAGATTATTGAGATAAGTACCTTATCCATTGTTGTGTGTGTGAGAGAGAGATTATTGTGATGAGTACCTTACTTTTGAGTATCCATTGTTAATCATCAAGAGAGAGAGAGTGATTATTTTAGTATCCATTGTTCAATCATCAAGAGAGAGAGTGATTATTTTGAGTATCCATTGTTCAATCATCAAGAGAGAGAGTGATTATTTTGAGTATCCATTGTTCAATCATCAAGAGAGAGAGTGATTATTTTGAGTATCCATTGTTCAATCATCAAGAGAGATTATTATGAGTATCCATTGTTCAATCATCCAGAGAGAGATTATTTTGAGTATCCATTGTTCAATCATGGTGGCTCCTATAGTGCATGCAGAGAGAGAGACTACTGTGATGAATACCTTGATTTTGAGCATCGATCGTTCAAGCATGGCTGCTAAAGTGCATGGGAACCTATATCTGCACTTGAGGAAGCAGATGGAGTAGTTAGATCTTCACTTTGGAAAGTAAAGATAGAATTTTATTAACAACTGAAAAATTAGGGTTTCATGAGCTCAGGATACTCCATAAATGAGCACACTTTGAATTTACCCAGAATCCGGGTGAGGATTTCAAATTTTCAACGATTATCCTTGCTTTGCTCAAAATTTCAAAATGCTGTTAACCCAAATAAAATAATGAGAATTACCATAATGCCCTTTTTAGCCAAATTCAATGCAAACGGTTTTTTTTTTTCGAAGTGCAAAAGTTTGGTTATTTTTCTCACATTTTCATAATGGAGCATGGAAGGTTTCGGTGCCTAGATGCGAACTAAACATTTAATGGTGAGGTTTGTATAAGGTGTCCATATTGAGTTGTATAAGTAAGGCACATCTTTAAATTTTAATGGAAGATGCCGTGTAAGTAAGGCACATCTTTAATTTTAATGGAAGATGTCGCTTTGGTGTCAAAAATCTTTCGATTACTTAAAAATCTATGTCAACTTTAATTATGAAATTTAAATTTCTAAATGTGATGTGAATCAATCGTATCCACAATGTTAAAAAAATAAATAAATTAGATCTATAAACACTTGAAAATTTTGAACATAAACAGTCAAGATAACTACTACAAGACGCACTATTGTTAGGATTTGAAAAAAAAAAAAGAAGAAAATCTCTCTTTTGTATCCATACATATTGAGGTCGAGATTCAATTGGAAAAATCATCTTCTAACGACTATCAAAGAGAAGATGTTTTTGTTTTTTTGCCCTTTTTAAGCTAGTGTTAGCTTTTAGAATTCCTTCATGGAATAATGAAGAAAATAAGGCAATTGAAAAGCTTCATGAATTGGGTTTGGGCTTAAGTGGTTCGAAGAGGAGATGTTTGTTTTTTTTCCCTTTTTAAGCTAGTGTTAGCTTTTAGAATTCATTCATGAAAAATAACGAAGAAAATAAGGCAATTGAAAAGCATCATGAGTTGGGTTTGGGCTTAAGTGGTTCGTAATTGACATCAAACAACGCTATATACTTTATGATCAATGGGGTGCACAAAATCCTCAAATTTGGATCATCTCAACTTCAAGATGAATGAACATAAGAAAAAATGGAGATTTCAAGTTGATCATCTCAACTTCAAGATGAATGAACATAAGAAAAAATGGAGATTTCAAGACTTGGAAATGGTGCATCTTATATTTTTGGACAGTCAATTTTTAGAATTTTCAAGTATTTATAGAGCTACTTGATCTACACTGTCTTTCAAAATTTGAATTTTATACTTAGAGATGAAAATAAATTTTCAGAGCATCACAAAATTTTCAGTATTGAAACAACACCTTTTGACATTATATGAAGTTGCGTCTTACTTTGATTGTTTAGGGCCTCGGCCTTACACAAACCACACCCTTTAAGGATCGACGATTTTGAGGTTTACATCAATTGATAGATAGTTCAAATATTACTTTATGATTTATTTCAACCTTTAGGTGATTCAATCAAGGGAAATTTATTAAAATGCAGCTAAGATATGAATTATTCTGCATTTTATCAGCAAATTTGATTTAATTGTAAAAAGCTCATCAAGTTACACATGATTATGAGTTAAATTAGTTGAAAATGAATAAAACCTTAAATAATTGACAAAATAAGTACGTTTTAATAAATTTCCCAGCAAAAAAAACTTATAGTGGTTCTTTAAAGGAAAAAGTTTATATAAGGATGCTACCTTA